GAGGGAGGGAGGGGGGAGGAGGGGGCGCTGGGACTGCTTGCTCCATTCCCTGCTTCCCAGCAAAGTAACCTGATTAAAATCCTGCGCGAATGGTATGGATAACTTTGTTTTTCCATCTCAAAGTGCCTTCTCAGTCTGGAGAATACTGACCCTCCTTCAACTTCTAATATTGATGATACATTAACTCTTCCAAATATTAAAATGCATTATAAAGCTATAATAACTAAAACTTTGGTACTGGTAATGAACTAGAAAATTCAGCAGTAGACCTAAATATGTATGGAAATATAATATACGCTGATGAGCAGGGGGTGTTATTTGCTGAATGAATATGATGAATAACTGAACTCTACATCTGAAACTAATGATGTACTATATGTTGGCTAATTGAATTAAAATTAAAAAAATAAATGTAATATGTTAAAGAAGTTATTTCAAATCTGTGGGGGGAGAAACAATCTTATTTAACAAATTCTGTTGGGCTAACTAGATTGCTGTTTGAAAACAAAATAAAGCTGGTTTACTCGCTCTAAAACCTAAATAAATTTCAAAAAGGTACAAGATTTAAAAAAAAATTCCAAGCCCTTTAAGAAGCGTACCTGAATTTTATAAAACAGTCTTGAGGTGGTGAAAGACTGTATAAAATGTAACCTAAAGCCCAGAATCCATAAGGCAAGAGAATTATGAGACTAAAACTTTTTTAAAAGTGCTTTATGAAAAAAAAACAAATATCAGCTATTTTTATTGTTTACTTAAAGGCCACCAAGCATTTGTCCCCCTCACCCCCAAAAAAGTGCCACAGTCATCTCGTTTCTTACCTTCATCTTTAATTTCTTAAAATATGCCCATGAAGGTATGCTAGGTAAAACAGAACATTACCAATATACTTTTTAAAGCTCTTATTTATTAGAGAGAGAACGCATTCGAGAGAGTGAGCATGAGCAGGGAGGGGGAGGGGCAGAGGGAGAAACAGGCTCCCTGATGAGCAGGGGGGCTCAATCCCAGGATCCTGGCATCATGACCTGAGCCAAAGGCAGCTGCCTAACCGTCTGAGCCACTTACGCGCCCCCAGAACATTACCAACATTTTTGAAATGCTTTTGAAATGCTCCCGGGCTACATTTGTTCTATTCCACTCTGAACTAACTACTCCCATATTTTATCATCCATTTTCTTTAGTTTTACCGTCTATTTATATATGCCTAAACAATACACTCTCTAGGTTAGCCTGTTTTTCGTTTTTATATACATGATACCATACTGTGTAGATGCTTCTGTGATTCACTTTTTCTCTCAATATTCTATTTCTATGACTTATCCAAGTTTATACATCAGCTGTAGTTCATTAACTTTCACAGCTGCATGGTGTTTCGTTGTATGGTTTTATCCTAATTATGCATTCTAGTATTGATGGACACTGGGTTGTTTCCAGATTGGGTTGTGTGGTGTTTTTTCTTTTTTTTTAATGACCATTTTTATTTGCTCTTCCAGGGCACATGGGTAAGTTTCTCTGGGGAATATTCCCGGGAGTGTAACAGTAGTCAGGTATGCACGTGTTCTGCCTTTCTTTTTTTTTTTAAAGATTTTATTTATTTATTCATGAGAGACAGAGAGAGAGAGAGAGAGAGGCAGAGGGAGAAGCAGGCTCCCAAGGAGCAGGGAGTCCAATGCGGGACTCGATCCCAAGACCCTGGGATCATGACCTGAGCCGAAGGCAGACGCTTTACCATCTGAGCCACCCAGGCGCCCGTGTTCTGCCTTTCTAAGTAGGGCCCTATTTTCCAAAGTGGTTGTATCCATTTATACTCCTGATTCTTGCCAACATTTGGTTGGGTCAGACTTTCACATTTTTACCAATCTGGTAGTTATGAAAAGGTATTTCATTATGATTTTAACTTGCCTTTCCCTAACTTCTAATGCAAGGAGAACTTCAGCCCATCTTTAATTTCTAGGAAATGCTGCCCTTTCCTTCTTGCTCTCCAGCTGGCCCTAATATTAAACAAAAGCAGTACCTACCTACATTTTGTGATATACTATCTCAACGTTTTCTGACTATCATTCCTATTAGTCAGGTGAGCACTTGTGATGAGTACTTGTGGTCTAGTTTTCTCTTTTCCATTCGAATCCTCTAAATGTTCAGTACTAGAGCAGGTACAAAGATGAAAAGCAGGATGGATGCATTGGGGGATATGGGGAGAGGAGAACAGAATGTCCCTGCTAGTTTGAGACCAGCAGGAAACCGACTAGGATAGATGAGTGACAGCTGCCTGATTTTGAGGACCTAGGATATAAAAACTATATTAATGATTTATGAGGATTTGCGATCCTTAGGATAATTCTCTAAGGTGTATATTACCTGTTTTATAGATAAGGAAAGTGAGGTTCAGAGGTGACAGAACACTTTGGAGTACCCAGAGGAGAGCAGGTCAGCATGCAGAAACTTAAGAAGTCCTTTATTCAGTAACTTAGATGTGAGTACCAATTTGGCAAAAGATTTTATTGCGCATTGGAGAGGTTTGCCATTGATGGGGCCTCTGCCAATCTGTTATATTGGGCACTGGGAAGGGATTGCCTGCAGTCATGGAGGGAAGTTAATATAGTGCAAACCTACTTGAATGGTAGTCGAAAGGCCTAAGTTCCACCCACCTACTGCCCCCCACCTGAATGGCTTTGGAGGCCCTCACTCACTGTATACTACAAAAGGATAAGGGCAAGTCTCCCCCATGAAACTGCCTCAGCTCAGCCTTGAGAGTTGAGTGACAGCTTGTGCCTCAGTCTCACCATCTGTAAAATGGGAATAATGATCACCTATGTTGGTGTATTTCCTGTAACAAATAATCAAAAACTTGGTGGGATAAAACAAGTTTATTCTCTCACAGTTGGGGAGGCCAGAAGTCCAAAATCCATTTCACTTGACCAAAATCAGTGTCTCTAGACACTGTAGGTCTGCTCCAGAGGCCAGGGGGGGAACCCTTCATTGCCTCTTCATTTTCAGGTGGCTGTTGGCATTCCTTGACTTGTGGCTACATCATTACAGTCTCTGCCCTTTTGGTTATACTGCCTGCCCCTCTTCTGTTTGTCAAATGTCCCTCTGCCTCCCTCTTCGAAGGAGAGGGTCCATCTGATAATCCAGGATAACCATCCCCCCATCTCCAGATCCTTAAATTAACCTGCAGACTGTTTCCACATTAGATAACATTTACAGGGTCCAGGGCTTAGGACCTGATATCTTCAGGGGCCCCATTCAGCCCATTACATTCAGGGTTGTCAGAAAGAGGAAATTTGCTAATGCTGGCAGAGGACTGAGCCCAGCCTCTGCCAGCAGGTAGCACTGTCTAAATATCAGTTTCTTTCTTCTAAAGTCTCTAAGGAAGCCTCCCTTCAAAAGGGGCGGCTGCAAGGCTCCAACCCAGATATAAGACTTACAAGGGTACAAGGGAGACTATGTAAGCACTAAGAATGAAGCCCAAACTGCGGTCCCTTGGTTTCCCTGAGAGGCTCGCACAGCTCAGACTTGCACGTTTTTCTCCGGTACGATGCCTCACACCCCGCCTGCCCGCTCACCTTCTCCCCACCTCCTGGAGAGGATGCTCCACCTCCAGGCCCCACCCCACTACGTGCCGTCCCTTGTCCCCGCCCACTAGTTGGGCGACCTCCGCCCTTAGTGGGTTAGAAGCGTGAGGGCCTTTGCGGTCTGTCCTTTCTACTGCCTATCAAATCGTAGCACATTCTATCCAGTTTTGGCTCCTTTCTAAGCCTGCACGTCATTCTTACAACGCAGATGGATTTACAGAGTTTAGTTGTGACAATTTACTTGCCTTTAGATGAAAAACGAGGCAGAAACTATTGGAAGAAGACTGGCAATATTTAAGAGAGCCCATGCAAGAGGGGGCCGGGTCCTACATGCCTTGCGAGCTGAGCGCCGGCCGGCTCACGGCGCAGGCGCAGTGGGGTCTGACTCGCCATGCCGACTGTCAGCGTGAAGCGGGATCTGCTCTTCAAAGCCCTGGGTCGGACCTACAGTAAGTGCCGGCCCCATAGCCTGGCTTTGTGCCTCTCTTCAGAGGCCGGGACCCCCTTCAAAAGGGCTCTGTGGTAATGTTCATGCTGCCCGGCAGGTTTTGGCCTCGGGTGCTCCGGGTATAGATTGGGATGGCTGGCTGTCTAAGCGGCGGGGCTGAAGTAGCCTCTCTCAACCAGTCGTGCCAAGGCTGTCTTTGCATCCGCGCCTGTCCAGCTCGCTGTGTCATTCATTAAGCAATCTCCCATGGAGCGTCTTCTGCGTGCCTGGTGCCAGGGGATAGAGTAGGAGTGAAGCCCTAGGTTGCATCCCGAGTGCATCTAGTGGAGTGCAACAAGAAGAGCTCTATAGAAACTCCATTTATGAGGGAGTGGAGGGAGAAGTTTGAGCGGGAAGGGCTGGTATTATGTATTACCTGTTACGTGCCAGGCACTGTTCTAAGCGCTTTGGGAATACAGCGGTGCACATGACACATAGGTCCACGTTCACATTCTAATGAGGGAGGCAGACAATAAGTAACCAGCACGTTAATAAAATGATTCTGGGTTAAGTTAAAGGCTATCCGGGAAACGAAAATACTGTTCTAAGAACAACATTAGATGCAGTAGTAACCTCTGAGCTCAGACCCGAATGACAACAAGGAGTCTTTACTGGGTGGGCTCAGTCTTCACTTCATCTCTTCTGTTCTAAAAACATCCCCATTTAGAAGAGAGGAAATACTAAGTACAATCATCTGGGACCATATGGATGTAACAGTTGAAATGGTATCTGCCTCTCATAGTTAGCAGCTTATATAAAAGCTGTTATATAAAAGCTGTGGCAAGCCGGTTTGTGAGAGCTGTTTTTGGTTTTTAGGGCTCAGGATGATAACAGAGCCCTAGTCTGGTTAAAAGGTACTGCTTCCTAGAATAAGATATTACCTGAAAATAGTTAGCTTTTAAAATGTTCCTGAGGGGCACCTGGGTGGCTCAGTTGGTTAAGCATCTGCCTTGGGCTCAGGTCATGATTCCAGGGTCCTGGGATCGAGGCCTGCATCCTGCTCCCTGCTCAGCGGAGAGTCTGCTTCTCCCTCTCCCTCTGCTGTTCCCCCTACTTGTGCCCGCTTTCTCTCTCTCTCTGTCAAATAAAATCTTAAAAAAAAAAAATTTACACCTTCAGAAACATTTTAGGTACTACATATTCTTTAAGTATTCTTTGTAGGGTTCTGCCTTTAAGACCCTGAAAATAGAGGTAATACTCTTGACCTCTGAATTCAGCTCTAATTCCCTACACTTTTTTTCTTTATAATACTTTTTTTTTTAAGATTTTATTTATTTATTTGAGACAGAGAGAATGAGAGAGAGAGAGAGCGCACATGAGAGGGGGGAGGGTCAGAGGGAGAAGCAGACTCCCTGCCGAGCAGGGAGCCCGATGCGGGACTCGATCCAGGGACTCCAGGATCATGACCTGAGCCGAAGGCAGTCGCTTAACCAACTGAGCCACCCAGGCGCCCCAATACTTTTTATAACATGCTTATTTTCTTTCTTTTTTTTTTGGCGTATTTATATTTCTTAACCCATTCTTCCAAACCATATTCTCACTAATGGTATATGATATGCCTGAATTGCAAAAGATGGTATGTGGCAAATATTTGTTCAAGACATCTGTGATTAGTTACCACCCAAGCATACATTTCTGGGAAAGTAAGAAATTCTCTAGGTTTGTATTTCCTTCTTAAACATTTTTATTTTTTTAAAGATTTATTTGAGAGAGCATGTGCACAAGTGTTGGGGGGGGCAGAGGGAGAGGGAGAAGGAGAGAAACTCAAGCAGACTCCGAGTGTGGAGCCCATCGTAGGACTGGATCCCACCACCCTGAGATCATGACCTGAGCTGAAATCCAGAGCCGGTCCTTTAACTGGCTGAGCCACCCAGGCGCCCCTATTCTAGGTTTTTAAAATGGTGAGATTTATAATATATTTACTGTCATCTGGTGTTTTAATATATTCTCTAGCTGCCCCCCCCTTTTTTTATTGAAAGCAATCAGGCAAGCTTGATTGCCCCCCGCCCAAGTATCCATCAGGTACTGACTCTAAAACATCAGAAAGATTGATGTTATTGAGATGTACTTAAGAAAGGTCAGAAATAATACTCATCATTAGTTTTTTTTTTTTAAATTTACTCCCTTCTCTCTACTCTTCCTAAGTTTTTTTTTTAAAGATTTTATTTATTTATTTGACAGAGAGAGACACAGCGAGAGAGGGAACAGAAGCAGCAGGAGTAGGAGAGAGAGACACAGGCTTCCCGCCGAGCAGGGAGCCCGATGTGGGGCTCGATGGCTCCATCCCAGGACGCTGGGATCATGACCTGAGCTGAAGGCAGACACTTAAACAACTGAGCCACCCAGGCGCCCCTCATCATTAGTTTATATTTCATATGTTGTTGAAACTTTTAACTGGGTTGAGGTCAAAGTTGGAAAAACATGTTTAGCAAAGTATCTAGTTTCCAAGTAATATGAGTCCATCTCGTTTCTTACCCTCGAGAGACAGCGAGAGAGGGAACATAAACAAGGGGAGTGGGAGAGAGAGAAGCAGGCTTCCTGCCGAGCAGGGAGCCCGATGTGGGGCTTGATCTCAGGACCCTGGGCTCATGAACTGAGCCGAAGGTAGACACTTAACGATTGAGCCACCCAGGCGCCCCAGTCTTCCTTTCTATTTTCAGATAATATCTCATTCACTCTTTTGGATCTCCATTCCCTCTTCAGTCCCTCCAAGTTTTGCTTTTTGTCCTAAATTCCATTGTTTCTACCACTTACTGCCTTTCCCTTCATCTCTTTGCTTACCAGGGATATTTCTCAGGGTGCTTCTATTAGTCATTTTGCTTCTCTGGGGCAGTTTTATCTAAGTCTACCTTGGCTGGCTGAAGAATATGCTTCCAGGATCACTCCTGTGGTTGCTTCAGACCTCCGTTTACACAAGGATGTGAATACCAAGAGCAGGGATTACTGGGGACATCTTTTGTTCTTGGCCCTAGTTAACGGTACCTACGCTGGAGACCTGGGAGACCTAGACTTTTCCTGCTCCCACCATTCCCACCTCCCATCCCGTCATTGAGCCTTACAGATTCTGCCTCTTTGACATTCCTCACATTCTTGCTTCCTTGTACCCAGTGCTGCTCCTTCAGTCAGGTCCTCACTGTGCCTCACCTGTACTGTTGCAGAAGCCTCCCTGCTCCAGTCCATCTACCACTCTGCCACCATTCTTTAAAGTGCAGATCTAATCCTGCCTTTGCCCAGCAGAAAATCCTTCAGTGTAACCCCCACTGTCTGCAGGCAGGACGGAGCAAGTCCCTTGGCATGTGGGTTCTTTCTGCTTGCTGCATTGTTTCTCTTCCTGACTTTATCCCTATGCTTCATCCATACTGACCTTTCCAAATTTCCCATGCTGTTGTCCCATTCCCCACAGTCTCTGCCTAAAGAACTTGGCCTTTGTGTGAAGCCTTAGCTGACTCTTAATGAAGCTAATTACTTTCTTTGTGCCACCTCTGTACCTTGCACTTAACTATATTTACACATCTGATTTCTTTATTAGAGTAGGAATTATTTTTGTAGCCTTGGCACCGAGTATAGCACCTGGCATATAGTATAAGTGTTGAGTTGAAGTTCATTGTCAGGGTCAGAATCTTAAGACCAGCTTTTCACGAGAATATACTGGTAGTGATGGTTTGTGTTCAATTTTTTTGATAATGACAATCCCCCCAAATGCTGTATGAGGTAGCAAAGTAGAATATAACTTCAAGGAAGAGAATTGTTAATTATTGGAGACCTACTGTGTTTTGGGGTGCTATGCCAAGTCCATTACCTGCATAATATCGTTGGAATCTTTCCCAGAGTTCCATGCTAAAAGTAAATAGCTATAAAATGCTACTTTATGGATGAGGCCTAGGTATAAGGAAATTTACATAAGGTGCCAAGCTCTCAGAACTAGTAAATGGAATAGTCAGAGTTCAAACTCTGTTTGGCCTGCCTCCAGAGCCCGCTATCAGGCCTCAGAATTTTAAATGGTAGGACTTAACATGACATTATCCCATTGTGCTGGATCTGTGTTTTGGAGCCTACTTTACATTTGATTCCTACCTAATAGGTTGTTTTTCTAAGTAAATGTGAGCTTCCCACTGCAGTTAACCTAATTCTGTAGTTGATATTAAATGAATCAGCCCTTAAATAGTTGTTTCTTTTGAGGGTTTTTTTTTTTTTGGTCCCTTTTGTTGGTTTTAAAATGGTGCTATCTGATGCCTGATACTAGCTTGGTATAGGGCAGTTATTAAGAAAATGCAGTTTACATTCCGTCATTTAAGCTGAGCATATTAAAATTAGCAATCTCCTTTTTTTTTTTTTTTTTCCAGCTGACGAAGAATTTGATGAACTATGTTTTGAATTTGGTCTGGAACTTGATGAAATTGTATGTATTGAATATTTTTTAAATCATGTATAAGCGCATTTTTCAGAGGTTTACTGTATTTTGTTACCTTATAGTTAGACTAAGATGGAACATTTGTGGGCTCTGGTGATTTCTGTGTTCTTGGTGTTAAGGGGCTAAGCTCCAGTTCTAAGAGTATCTGTTGCTTTCTTTAAAATCTCAAAGGGCGGGGTGCCTGGGTGGCTCAGTTGCTAAGTGGCTCAGGTCATGATCCCAGGGTCCTGGGATCGAGCCCTGCATCGGGCTCCCTGCTCCGCGGGAAGCCTGCTTCTCCCTCTCCCTCTCCCCCTGCTTGTGTTCCCTCTCTCACTGTGTCTCTCTCTGTCAAATAAATAAATAAAATTTTTAAAAAAAGAAAAATCTCAAAGGGTTCATGTGTTAAGTTGTATGCAGTCACCTCAAGTTACCGGGCTAATGCTGTGGAGATAGATAGACCATCTTGAGTAACCCAGAATGAGTGTGTGCTCTCTGGCAGTGAGGTGCCTTTTTACAAATCAGTTATGGAAAGGGGCCTGGGGAGCAATGGAAATGTTACTTTAGCCAGGGTTCATGTGGCCTTTGGCTTCTCCTCCTTCATTTCCTGTTTCCACTATTCGTATTTCACCAGTGTTAATTCATTCCTAATCATTACTGTTTACATTGACCTTGTAAAATGATCTTTTAGTTTTTGCATTTGGTCTTAGCCAAAAGGCCGAGAAGTGATGATCTTCTAGTTTTGTTTTTTTTTTTAAAGATTTTATTTATCCATTTGACAGCAGGAGAGCACAAGCAGTGGGAGCAGCAGAGGGAGAGGGAGAAGCAGGCCCCCCACCAAGCAGGGAGCCCCATGCGGGGCTGATCCCAGAACCCTGGGACCATGACCTGAGCCGAAGGCAGTCGCTTAACCACATGAGCCACCCAGGCGCCCCGATGATCTTCTAGGTTTTGAAGAGTTGCTTATAAAAATCGTTATGGAGCATCTTCCTAGTCTTTTAATTGTATAATTAAAATACTTTTAAAAAGTTCATCTGCAAAATATATTACTAATGATCACTTAAGACCTTGTATTTATAACTAAAATGATGATTTCATATTTTTCTTGTAATTAGTATTTTTTTTTTTAAGTCTTCTTCCTTGTTCTATTCAGTATTACAACACTAGGAGGTTTAGGCTGATAAAAATGTACATTGACTTGCCTTGTTTTTTCTGTCGTTTTACTGATGTTACAGGTAGTTTTTTTTGTTGTTGTTGTTAATGAGCATCTTTATGCTTGAAATTGGCTAAGATTTCTCCAAGTTGCTATTAATAATTAGACTTCAGTAATGTTTGAGGCTGTATGATATCTAAGAGCCTTGGGCTGGGTATCAGAAAATCTGAGTAATAGTTCAAGCTCCCACATTCACTAGCTGTGTAACCATGGACAACTACATCGCTTCTCTGGGCCTCCTTCTCATCTATGAAATGGGGGCTGTGGATTAAATGATCCCTGTAGATCCCTTCCAGCTCTGAAATTTCTGTGGTCTTTTATTTCTATAAGGATTTTGTTAGCCCTTACAAACCCAGCCTTCAGATACAGTCTTTTTATGAATTGAGATACTGAAATATTTAAGCTGGTGTGTCTTTTTGCAAAGGGAGTAGGCATTTTTTTTCTTTTTTTTAATTCAGATGTCTTAATTTCTCTACTTACCACATTTTCTCCCCTTCTTCATATGGGTCCCTCCTGAAATGCCGCATCCCCTATAATGGGGGAGATGAAAGCATGACATGAAAGGAGGCAGAAGGAGGAGGAAAAATTAGAATTTAAATAGAGCTCAATCAAAGAGGTCAATAGAATTGCTGCTTTTTTAAGTTGAAGTATAAGTGACCTACAGTATCTTATCTCAGGTGTATATCATAGTGATTCTTTCTTGCCAAATGGTTATCTTTAAGAAAATCTGATTGAAAGTGAGGGGGTGGAAAACCATTTACCATGCTAATGGAACCAAAAGAAAGCTGGGGTGGCAATCCTTATATCAGACAAATTAGATTTTAAACCAAAGACTATAATAAGAGATGAGGAAGGACACTATATCATACTTAAAGGGGCTATCCAACAAGAAGATCTAACAATTGTAAATATCTATGCCCCTAACATGGGAGCAGCCAATTATATAAGCCAGTTAATAACAAAGTCAAAGAAACACATCGACAACAATACAATAATAGGAGGGGACTTTAACAACCCCCCCCCCCCGAAATGGACAGATCATCTAAGCAAAAGATCAGCAAGGAAATAAAAACTTTAAATGACACACTGGACCAAATGGACTTCACAGATATATTCAGAACATTCCATCCCAAAGCAACAGAATACACATTCTTCTC